CACACACACACACACACACACACACACACACACACACACACACACACACACATTGCTATGCTACTCTCAGGCCTCGCTACCCCTCTCTGAATGTCTTCTCTTCCCTCTCTCCTATCATCTTCTCTCTGCTAGTCGCTACGGTGCTGGGCGCCGTTGACTACAACTTATGCTCCTCTCTTTTCCTCATCGGCAACTTAGTTGCACAATAACACAGCTGCACTTATGCGACAGACATGAATGGGAAATTGTGTTAAGACTGGCTGTGACTTTACGTTTGTACCTTCTGCAGTTCCAAAATTAGACTTATGACAACGGTACTTCTTGCCTTGGCCGTGCTGGCCTCAATGCTTCACACACTGTCGTCGGACTTTCCTGCGAGTGAGCTGTCACTGGCAGGGACTAACCTGCTTCCAGTACCTAACGACCTACTAAAACAGGCGCTTCGCCATACTGGTTCTATGTGGCCTACCTTTATGGTACCTACCATAAGCTACACGGGCCTACCCTTTGGGGCCTGTCATAAGGGCAATTGGGACTCGGTGCCGTGACCGGGGCTCTGAGATGCATGAATCCTTCCATAGTAGAACAAGTGAGTGCCTGCCCCCTGGCAACGTCGGCTCTGGCGCCGACAGAGAGGGCTCTCGGGGAATTCGCTAGAACGCCGGTAGTACCAAGGGAAGTGGAGCGAGGGCGGAGGCGAGGGAAGGCTATGGGGGATGGGATATTGACGGCGGTGTGCTTAAGTTTTCATTGTAAACTTGACTGGTCCTCAGTGGGCTTTGGCCAAAGAAACGACTACGCTCAGATGCTTGCGCATGGAGTCGGTGTGTGCTCTCGGTCGTTGTGACGCAATTGCATCCACTCACTTGTTCTACTCTACTCTACCACCAGTTCCCGGGCTGCAATCCAAAGGTCAAGGGCCTCAAGGTAGAATACAATCTGGCTGTGGAATGGGTTGGCCTAGCAGCAATGGGGTGTAGGTGGCAGTGTGAAAAATTTTGAGTGGGCCTAGTTTCAGAATTTTTTGCTCTTAGAATTGC